ACTTCTCGTCACTATGCTAACTATGTACACTTCAACTACGATAATACACAAACAATTTTATTCATAATTTTTCTTTTAAATTTTTTCGTTTATTTTCAACAATATAATAAGTTAATTTTTAAAATATAGGTTGTTATTCATTTATTTATTCATTTTAATATCTAATATTCTATTTTCTATTTCTTATAATTTACATTATTAACTCCTCATTTGGTTTTACAATCTAGGCTCCGACAATGGCATTAGCCGAAACGGCCGTCAGCCAAACTTCACAGTTTAATAAAGTTGAAACAAAACAGCTTCGTGTTGTTGAAATTCTATTTAAAAAACTTCTAACTGCAAAATGGGGTGTAATCTTCAACCGAACATGTTTATCTGAGAACCTCATACCAAATTATATATATATATATATATATATATATATATATATAATATATATATATAATACTTTTTTTAAAAGAACTAAAATTATATATATACATATATATACATATATATATGTATATATATAACTGTCATATTTTGAAGAAACCACATAACTTACAAAAACGAGTTGAAATTGAAGTGCTCATCGATCAAATTTTAAAATTGAATAATGATAAGAAAGTCATCATAAATCAATCGCTCATCCCTGACCTTATTTCAGAATCCCATAAAAATAGAGGTAACTATAATAGTAAAATACTCGACAAAGAACTTATAAATGCTGCCAAGCAACTTAAATCAAACAACAATATAACCATTCGAAAAGCCGACAAGTCAGCGTCATATGTTTTGATGAACACACCCGAATATCTCCAAAAATTAAACCAACTTCTTTCCGATTCCACAAAATTTAAAAAGATCTCAAAAAACCCCGTCGATGATATCAAAAAACAGCTCAACACCATAATTAACCGCATCAATAATAATAGTTCAATAAACTCATTGGTGATTTCTCTCCCGGTTACATCTATGGTAACGTAAAGACACATAAACCCGACAATCCCTTACGCCCTATAATTAGTCAATGCCCAACTCCCACTTATCACATCGCAAAAAATTCTCACACCATATGTACCTGACAATTATTGTGTCAAAAGATCAACTGATGTCATCAAATTGTTGAAAGCAAATCGAGATTCGGGAACGATGGCTTCATATGACGTCGAATCTCTTCACAAACGTGCCGGTTGATACTACAATACAATACATACTTGATCGAGTATATCGCGATGATACAACTCCATGTTTGGATATTAGAGAAGAGGATCTAAAACGTTTGTTAGAAATATGCACGAAGCAGTCACCGTTTGTATGCCCCGCTGGACACATGTACGTGCAAACCGATGGCGTAGCTATGGGGTCTCCACTGGGAGTCTTGTTCGCAAATTTTTATATGGGAACAATTGAATACAAAATCTTCAAGCGTTATCGTAAACCTCTCGTATATTGTAGATATATCGATGATATATTTGTCATAACCAAATTTGAGAGAGATATAACACAGCTGAATAAATTGTTTCACCTTAACTCATGTTTAAAATTTACTGTGGAAAAAAGTAATGACAATAAATTGACCTATCTTGATATTTTAATTGATCAGTTAACACCCAACACATTTCGCACATCTGTTTACGTCAAACCAACCAACAACGGGATATGCATGAAAAGAAATAGCGAGTGTCCAGATCGGTATAAGAATAGTGTGATAATATCGTATGTCAGACGGGCATATTCACACAGCTCTGAACCACTTGAATTTCGTAAAGAACTCGATAAAATAAAACAATTCCTTGTCAACAATAATTTTAACAATTCAACAATAGATAAAATAATGACCAATGAAATTAGAAAGATTCAAAATAATAATATTAAGGTAAATGATAACAATGAAAACGTTAAAAACAACTCAAGTTATAATCACAATGTAACCGACAATGATAACCACGTTTCTATCGATCATAACAGCCATAACAACACAAGCAACACTGACAACAACACAAGAAACAACACAAACAACAATGACGACAATATAAGTGATAATAACACGAACAATAATGATAGACGTATTATCAATGATCATGATAATGATAACATAAATAACAACGAAAACAATGGTAACCATGTTACTATTGCACAAGTCATTGTCGATAACCTAATCAACAACGACAACCATGTTATTTCCAATAATCTTGTCAGTAATGTAAACAACTCAAACAACGACGTTGTTGCTGATCATGTCGGTGACAATGATGCAAACTCTATTACCAACTCCAACAACAATAACAGCGACAATAACGATGACCATGTGGATCATGTCAATGATAACAACACAATCAATGACAACCTCGTTATCGCAAACTCCATTCATAACAATAACAACAACTCAAACAACAATACCGACAGTGCAAAATTAACTTTATTTTATCGTAACTTAATGAGCTCTTCGTATAAAGAAGACAAATATATAATTAGAAAAATCATTAAAAAAGGAGTCCATCCAGTTGATTCTAATGAAAAAATAAACCTTCTTATTTATTATAAAAATTTTAAGTCGCAACAACTACTAATAAAAAATAGTCCCAACGTTAAACTAGCAACAACACAGCACTCCCACGTCATCTACCAATTTCTATGTCCTCACGAAGACTGTTGGCTTCGTCCATCTTCTTATATTGGAATGACTACCACAAAACTGACACGCCGTTTAACCTGCCATTTGAACATCGGAGCTCCAAATCAACGCTACCATGACTGCCACAACCAGCAATTATCCCGCAAAATATTAGAAGATAATACTAAAATATTAATGAAAGACACTAATTTTAACAGACTACAAACTTTAGAATCCCTATTTATTAATATTTATAAACCTAATTTGAACAAACAAATTTATTCCAATTTTATTTTACCTTCATCACGAAATGTTTAATTTATTATTATTATTATTAACATAATATTGCACATATAATATATTTTATTATGTTATATTACAAAATAATTGTTTATTATACTTAATTTAACTACTTACGTTATCTAACTTTAATCGTTACGTTACTTTCGCGCTCAACTCTTATTACGTCATCTGACAGTTTATTGTTATGTTTTATTTGAATTAATAACACCGAGATCTCCATTCCTTCCATAATGCTTGTAATGCAAGATTTTTATAAATTTGTTGTTTTAACGGATTATTTTAAACCGTTGCAAGATTGAATTTAAAATAAAAAAAAACATAAAATAAAAAAAAACAATTGTTTAAGAAAAATAAAATAAATTTTTCTGTGAGACATTTCATAGTCATTGTTGACAAACGGTTTTTTTAATATATAGGTATTCAACAATGAGTTGTTTGATTTTGTTTCACATTCTACTGTTAATTATTGGTAAGAAAAATACTAAAAATTCCTGATTAATTATAAAATGATACATTTATTATAATTTTTTATGATATTTTACAGCAGCAAATTTAATAATAAACACTAAGCAACACAAGTTATTGTTCAAGGATTTTAGCTATCTTAAGGGCCCATATTAATCTAAACTTATTTAGTAAGCTGTGTGCTCCAATTTTGTTGAATCTCCAATTTCATTTGTTGAAAATGAAAAAATTATTTGATCAATAATGTTTATTACAAAAAAAATATAAAAAGAAGGCATACGATTAATGGTGTAGATGATGACTTACAGAACACTTAGTTAAAGTGAAAGTTTGTAATTAATATCTTCATAACCTATGATAGATGCATTGAGGATTTAGGTATATACAAATCTAGTCTGGCACAGACCTCCACAGCATACAATACAACGAAGCGGGTGTAAAGTTTTGGTTCTTAGCTCAATTTGAATTGATTAAGTTTTGTTTTAAATTATTGTTTTTAGGCAAGCAATTCTGAAAATATATTTTTAATTTTGACTACCCACATACTCTTTAATTATACTCCATTTTACTCTTTTTATATATTAGAAAAGTCTATTTTGCGTTTGATATTCAAATATGAGTGCAGCAAGGGGAAGAAATTTAGATTGTAAACTTAAATAACATTTTTGGAAGCACGTACAATTTTTTGATAATTAACCACTTCTGTGGAATGAAATAACATGTACATGATTTGAGAAACCGATTCAAGTTTAGGCGAATAGTCTTTAAAGAGGTTATAAAAAATGTTCGAGATTTTAAAGCTACCCTAAACAAAATTTTTATTTTGCCCATTGGATAATAAACAAATAAAATTATAAATGATTCCTATTTCAATTAATTTATGATCCTATTATCCGTAAATCTAACATAATAATATTTTAATTTATTACATTTCCCAAATAGGTACACAAGCAAATGACGTGACCGCTTCTATAAAACCGCTGGCTGAGGCTTTCATCGTATCAGGTTGCAGCGGAAAGTACATACCGGCTCGAATAAGTGGTGAAATAACAGTAACCGAAACATTAGCGATTGAATTAAGACCGACGACACTTGCTGAACAGACTTTCTTTGTGAGTTTGAGCAGAAGCGGTGCTTTAAGCGAGTGGAAATGTGCCGACCGGTTACCTTCAGAAAAGATGAGTTGGGCCGATTATGATTTCAGAGAGGATCATTTTGTTAGTTGACATTTTTTAAATTTTTCAATACACGATTGCACGCATTAACTTGGAAAAATGTCTTGAAAACTCGAAATTAACACGTGATTACATATTTTAGGCTAAATTTTTAATGAAAACTTAAACGATAAATAATATAAATTCTGCAACAAGACCATTAACAACCTTAACATTAATGTTACAACCACTACAATAACAACCATTATAATACTCGTAGAAAAAAGACATCCGATAATAAATTTTCAACAACGTGCAATTGGAATCCTTCCCACAAATCAATTTAGAAACAGAGAAGTCATCAATAATGATGACACGTAGAAGTGTCATTGCACAAAATTGAAGATCGTAATAACTAATTAAATCATTGCAATCATTATCGATTAAATTAATATTAAAGTCACCTACAGAATAAATATATTTGCTTGATTTAGAGATTTTTAATAATAAAGAATTTGAATCATTTATAAAAGTTATTAAATCAATACTGGGAGGAAGATAGACAACATATATTGAATAATTTTGACCGTCAATGCCTAACAATTTAATAATAAGTAGTTCAAAAGAAGGAGAATAATAAATAAGGTCATCACAAATAACATATTATATTTTAAGAAATTTGAAACAAAAATTTCAATGCCAACCCCAATAGCAGAGACACGATTTTTAAAAACAAAAGTAAACCCAGGCAGATTAATTAATTTATCATTATACTCATTTAGCCAAGTTTCTGAAATACAAATCAATTGAAGACGATTATTACAAGCATTGACAAGGGTAGCAAGTTCTGTCATTTTTTTGTATAGACAGACTTCTACTGTTGATATGTAGAATTGAAAAAAAATAAAGAAAGTCAATGAATTGATCAACGTCTTCAGGTTGTAGTAGAGGAGAAAAATTGAGAACGGTGTTAAAAAGAGTATCGATCAAATTTATTTCAATATTATTCTTAAAGATGTGATGATTATAATTTTGTTGATTATTATTAAACGATGAAAACAAATTAGAATTAGCCATTGTTATTGTTGGATAATTTTGACACAAAGCTGGGGACTGATTGATGGTTCTGCGAGTTGAAGAAACACCATTCATGTAAGATGACACCATTTGTCCAATTTTTTTCATTTATTACATTGTCGAAATCTAATTCTAAGAACAAAATTTTGAAGGCAGCACTGGTTTTGACGTCAAAATTTGGACAAGATGTGTTGTTAGTATTACTTTTTTTGTTGAAAACAGATTTATTAAGAGGATTGCATCATATGGTCGTAACGTTTATTGACTTCAAATGGTTGATCACGTCATCTGAAGTACACTGGTCTAGTTTAACAACGTAAACAATTTTCTTGATGTGCTAGTTGTTTGTTTGCCGATAACTTTTTTGCATTTTCTATTTTTATTTTATGCTGTGCAATTTGTGATGTGTCACATTTAACAACCATAGGTGGGAGCATTCTTGATTTGACCTTTTGTTTACCACTTTGCACCAGTGTGAACCCATCATCCTTCTGAACACTATCATCTATTGTAATATCGTTACTATATCTGTCAGCCCATGAAAAGTTTATACTATTTGTCGGCGTACTTGGTGTTACATTATTTAAATTTGTGTTTTTTGCATTTACACATTCCTTGTTTATGTTTGGTTTGCAGCTGGACATGTGTGTCGAGATGTCGAGATTGAATTAAAAAAGTATAATGACGGGTTAAAAAAAATGTCGACAAACTTGTGCCTTGGCGTTTGATTTATGACAGAGGAGAGAGTATGGCACCTTGGTTTGAGGATGATTGTCAACGGCTAAACTAACTTGCAGGCGAATGGAAAGGTCATACAGAAATCACTCGACGACTGATCATCGAAAACCTAAAAGCTTCTCAATTCATGCAATTCTTCACAGACAAGACCAACAAGATTATAATGTCTACCAACGTTTCGCTTTCGTCAGCACATCACAGTCATGTTACAAATCTTGTTTCATTGGCAGATTTTCCAGAAATAACAGAAACCGAACTTAAAGGCATCATAATGAATTCTCCTTCAAAAACAAGTTCACTAGATATCTTTCCCACCATATTTTTAAGAAATATATACACTTGTTTATCTGCTTCCTTACAAGTTTTTTCAATCTCTGCCTGAAGTTGGGTGAATTTCCTGCTGGGTTCAAACATGCTACAGTTGTCCCGATTTAAAAAAAAGCCAATTGTTGTGTTTACGATGTTGCAAGCTACAGACCGATATCGAACCTTCTGCTTATCTCAAAGATCATGGAGCGCGTTTTTCTCAAGTTTTTGTTAAATCATCTAATAGAAAAAAATTTAATGCCTCTCAATCAATCAGGATATAGGAAGTTTCATTCAACTGAAACTGCATTATTGAATGTTTTATCAAGTTTATTCGCTGCTGTAGATGCTCAGAGAGTATCATTACATTCGTTTTTGGATATGTCGGCAGCGTTTGACGAAGTAATAAATAATGCATATAGATGGTTTGAATCATACTTATCAAATCGCACACAGCAGGTTTCATTTAATGACTCAGTATCAGAGGTTTCCATCATAACGTCAGGGGTACCTCAAGGCTCAGTTTTGGGACCCGTTCTTTTTCTTCTGTAAACATCGGAAATTACCAAAATAATCAGTTTCTACGGATTTGTCTGCTATGCATTTGCGGATGATATTCAGGTGCTGAGCACTAGTTTTCCTTGTTTGTTTAAAACTGAAGTTGAGAGATTTATCGGATGTTTATCAGAGGTAGGACGTTGGATGTCATCAAACTCGTTAAAACTAAACAAATACGAATGGAAAATTTAATTACTTCCGGTTGGAACGTGGCAGCAGTTGCTGAAAATTGATTTTAGTTCTGTTAAAATAGGAGATGTTGATATATCATTTGCTGATATTGCTTCCAACCTGAGTGTATTGCTTGACAACAAGTTATCAATGAAAGATCACATCAAAAAGATTTGTGCATCAAGTCTTATCCACTTTAAAAGCATGTATAAAATTAGACATTCGTTAGATAGGAATCCCTGAAAAAAAGTCTTCAGGAAAAAAAGTCTTCAGAAAAAATATCTTCGGAAAAAAAGTCTTCAAGAAAAAATGTCTTCAAGAAAAAACGTCTTCAAGAAAAAATGTCTTCAAGAAAAAAAGTCTTCAAGAAAAAAAGTCTTCAAGAAAAAAGTCTTAAAAAAAAAATTTATTCAACGAAATTACCTTCAAAAACATTTTAAAAATTATGTTTAGAGGTCAATGACAAATAAAAAATATCTCTATAAATGTCTATCGCATAAAATACACTTAAATCATTGGTAAATTTTTCCTATTTAACACAATACAGTGTCCTATGGCTCATAAAGCCTCCAATGTAGATCTTCGGCCATCTCTAACGTCTTTGCACAATCGTTCCATTCTTTCTTGGAAATATTTTGACTGTCGTTTTTTGGCTTATTTATTTGAATTCCTCGGTCAATTTGACCAATAGATGTTAGAGCAGATGTTTGATCTTTTTTGATAGCACTGATTAAAGTCCATAACGATGGATTAAAATGGCCAATTAAATTGTGGAAACTATTATTCCAACCTTCACAAACGTTATTAGTTCTTTCATGACCATTTAATGTTATCGTAAAAACGTTCCATGTTTCGGGCGGAAATAGAGCAGGCATTCGGATCAACCTAATTTGGTTGACATTATTATTGTTGTTGTTGTTCCTGAAGGGCCCTCTACCATATGTTTTATCGAAATAAATGAAAAGATTTTCTAGTCCGGGTACATCTGGAATATTCCTTTCTAGGTGTTGGAGGGCATCATACAAACGGTTTATTGGCAAGAAAGCAATGCCATCTAGCATGCCAACAAAATGTTTAACATCATCCCTCTCTTTGTAAATGGTTGTTAGACCTAGCTCTGCTATCTGAATTTGAGATAACAAATAAACAAAAAATAAAAAATCCATAGCAAAATTTCATTCAAACAGGCAAAATGACAATTGATTAAAAATAGTTAACAAAGCATGCAACTATACCTTTCTCCATGTTGACTGTGTCAAATGGAAAAAACATTCTACAACTTCTACGTTTGCACCGAAGATATCATGTAAGGCACGTCTGGGGGAAATTTCGAAGTCTAACATAACAGTGATTGGAGCCAAAATTATGTTGTGTTCTTGCGCCTTATCTTTAATTGCCCTAAAAACTTCTTCATATGACGCCTGATTTCTTGATGTCATTAGGGCATAGGCGCATGTTACATAATGGTTAAGATAGGCAACTCTAATAAAGTACAGTTGGTGAAAAATATTTGGAGACAAGCTAAAATTACCATCCATAAACCATCTGCAAATATATAATAGTTAATATATATCAAAAATAAGCGAAGTGGTTTAATTACAGATGGAACTTCAATTTCGAAGTAACTAATTAATTTAATAAGCCGCATTTTTCCTAAATAAATAAAATGTAACTACCTAGTACTTCTTCCCATTTGTTGTAATTGCACGAATGTCGAAAAAACAATTATCCGGTTGAATGGATTGGGATATTTGTCCGGGGGGTAATTGTCCTAGAACCGTTTTTGGCACATGTTGTAACACTTTAACAACCCTATAATCCATTCCAATAAACCTCTCAGATAATATTAATACACAAAGAACATAATAAAGTTATTATGATTTTTATTAATTTTTATTGTAACAAATTTTTTATGTAAAAATGTAATTTCATTTTTGTATGTATGAATATTTTAAAAATAAAATAGTATCGTTGGATTTTTTTCTGGAAGACTTTTTTTCCTGAAGACGTTTTTTCTGGAAGACTTTTTTTCTTGAAGGCATTTTTTCTGGAAGACCTTTTTGAATGAAGATATTTTTACTGAAGATATTTTTTCTGAAGACATTTTTTCCTGAATGCTTTTTTTCTGGTTACCGTTGGATAGACCTACTTTGGAAACGTTGGTACAGGCCTTCATCACATCTCGTTTGGACTACTGCAACAGTTTGTTCTACAAATTGCCGGACTTCAGTTGCAAATCGGTTCTAGGGACATTGCCGTGGCTGGTCCCGCTGTTTTGAATAACCTTCCACTTTCTCCACTTTCATTTAGTTTGCATCTTATCTTGTTCACTAGTGTTTGATTTAACCTTTCATTTATGCCATTTGAAAAAGGCGCATTCACAGCTGCAAATATCATCGTTATTTGGTTGTCACTTAGAAAGTGCTTGAATTTTTTGGAATTTATTCCAGGGTATTGATCGCTGAGGAGTGTTTTAATCTTTTGTATTTCTGTGACCTTATTTATTAGTTTTATAAAATCATGTGCATTCTGGGTCTTTGATGTTATAATAAATGCGTACCTAGTGAAGTGATCTACTTGAAGGTGTAGATATTTCTTGGTTGATCTTGAACTACCAAAACCGCCAATTGTGTCTATTGATATTTTTTCAAGAGGTCTTGTGGCCGGCCCTAGATATGACATTAAACCGTATTTGTCTTGTCCTCTTGTTTTGTTCTTTATGCAAATTTCACAGCTCTTAAAAACATCTTTTATATTCTTTGTTAAATTCTTTGATACATATATTAAACTAACAGTCTTTAGCATTTGTCCAACTCCAATATGACATAAATTCTCGTGTATTCGTTTTATAAGTCTAATACTGAATTCTTCTGTTAACATTATTTTATCTTTGTTTCTTATTTTTTTGTAGTATACATTATGTTTTTCAATTATTTTGTTTTTGTTTTTTTCTATTTCTTCATTTTTATTCTGATCTATCATAATATCCTCCAACGTAATTAAATTCACTACTTTTAATTGATTTTCTATATTTTTTTCTGGTTCCAACACGGAGTTTCGGTTTAAACAATCTGCTTCTAAATTTTTTCTTTCTGGGGAATATTTGATTTTGAAATCATACTGTGAAAGGTAATAAGTGAGGTCACCCAGCTCTTCATCTGTTCTTGCTCTCAAATTCATGTTCTCCAAAGGTTTGTGATCTGAGTAAACTGTAAATGATTTTCCTATTAACCAGTACTGCCAATGTCTCAGTGCTTCCCTGATGGCCAAACATTCTAAATATATAGCTTTTTTCTTTTTTTGTGCTTCATTAAGTTTTTTTGAAAAATAGGCTACTGGTTTTTCTTTACCATCTGTTTGTACCTGTTTCAAAATTGCACCAACGCCCTCCAATGATGCATCGGTATAGATGTTAATTGGTAGATTTTGATCATATATTTCTAGTATCGGCTGCGAACATAAGAGACTTTTTACTTTGTCAAATGCTTGTTGACATTTTTCAGACCAAACAAATTTCTTATTTTTCCAAAATAAGTTATGTAGAGGATCTAGTATAATTGCACTTCTTGGTATGTATTCGTGATAAAAATTTATTTTTCCTAAAAATTGTCTAACGTCCCTTTGGGTTTTAGGTATTGGGAAATTCTTTATTGAAATTAGGTTGTCCTTTATTGATTGTATCGAATTGTTTTGAATAATATGTCCTAAGTATTTGATAGAATTTGATGCAAATGTACATTTTTTAAATTTTAAGCGAAATCCTTCTGTTTGAATTGCTTCTAGCAACTGTTTCAAGTGTTTTATGTGTTCTTCGAAAGATTTTGAAAATACCAAGATGTCATCAATATAATTAACAGTAAATTTAGTAAGTTTATATTTTCTAAGTATATTACTCAATATTCTTTGGAATATTGCTGGTTCTGTCTTCAGACCGAACAAGTCCATTGGAAGTGTTCTTCTTGTGTTACAAATCCTGTCTTCTTTCTGTCTTCTACCCTAAGTGGTATAGACCAAAGCGGAGTTTATGTCTAGACTTGTGAAATAGTGGCAATTCCTTGTCTTTATCATTAGGTCATCAATTAACGGGAATGACTGACTGAATGATTATTTAAATCCCTAAAGTCTATACATAGTCTTGACTTTTTATTTTCTTCTTTCTTAAATGCTAAAGTTATTGGTGCTGCAAATGGACTATAGGACTCCTCTATTAGCTTATTATCTAATAATTTTGATATTTGTTCTGCTATTTCTTTTTTGTCTTTTATAGTGCATCTATATGGCCTCTTGCTGCAGTATTTATCTAATAACAAATCTATTCTTGCTTCATATCCTTTAACTGTTCCTACGTCATACTTGTCCTTGGCAAAAACTGATTTATGTCGTTGTATTAGCTTATTAATCTCTTTCCTTTTTTTTCATCTAAATGATTACTTTTATTTCAAATTCTTTTTCTTTAATATGTTTGTTAAAATTTATTTTATATTCCTTTTCATATTTGTTGACCTCGTTTTCTCTCTTGATTATTCTTTCTTCTTTTTTAATATTTTCTTGTTGAAAATTTAGTTTTTGAGTAATTTTTAACTTTTCATTTTGTACTAACTTGTATGTTTTTATCATGTCTAATCCTATTGAAAAATCATATCTGAAATGCGCATCATCGATAATGTAAACATCCACTTTTTCTTCTATTTCGAAAATTTTAATTTTTAGCTTCGTCAAACCACAAGTTTTTTTAACACAATTAATTGTAACTAAATTTTGTTCATTTACATTATTATTCTCGTTTTTTTAATTTTAGTAATTTGGAATTAATTAGAGAAACATTCGAACCTGAATCATACACTCCATATATCTCTAATTTAGAATTTATTATGAGTTTGACTTTAATTAATGGTGTTACTATTAGTTTTTTTGTTTTGTTTCATTTAACTCTGCTTCAATCACTAAATTGTTGACATGTTTTATATATCTTCTATCAAATTTATTATTATCTTTCATTTTAAACCAACATGGAGCCTCTGGATGGTAGCGTATACCTTTATTTAACCGTTCACATATTTTGCATGTAGTACGTTCTTCAATTTTGTTATATATCTTCTGATTTTCGTATCTCGTGTAGGCTCCATTCTTATTTTTATTCATCAAATGTTCACACTTTCTTACTTCATTGAATAAGTCTACTGTATCTTCTTTTGATTGTTTATTTATCTATTCTAGAACAAAGCCTGGCAATCCAGCTGCAATAAAATCCACTAGAGTACCTGTATCTATTGATGTTCTCATGTCCAGTAAAAGTTTTTTTTTTTTATAGCATAATCCACTAATGAACCATCCTTGTACTTAAATAACAAAGCATAAGTCACTTGGTTCCAGCCTTGATTTGCAAATGATTCACAGAATTTATTTTTTCATATAGACCACTCTGAGTTTAGTGTTAATTTTATAATCATAGAACTATACCAATCAGCGCAACTTTTGTCCATGAATAGTCTGAGTATCTCAATTTTTTTCTCATCTTCCGTAATATCAAAACGTAAACATTCTTTTTCAAACATCAATCCATTGGCTTGGGTTAGTATTTTTACTTGTAAATCTTTCAATTATAAACTTTTCTGCAAAATATTTCAGGTTCTGTTTTTTTAAATCTTGTGAGCTTTCAATAAATTTTGTAAATAATTTTTTCAATGAATCTGTATTTTTTCCTAAATTACCAGATGCTTGCTTTTGTTCAATTTCTTCGAGATATTGATCTCCAAATTGTAGATTACCATCTTCATCTATGTACATGTACACGTTACTTAGTTCATTTGTCATTGTAATCCAAATTTTTCTTGTCTGATGTCTTTTCTTTAAACTATTTTTTATTTTATTGTACGCAGCTGTCTTTATAAACTCTTTATGAAGACTAGCAGACTGTATTTTTTCTGGAATAGCAAACACTTTTTTATCTCTTTTCGTTATGGAGGTTACACAATATACATTTGACTTTCCATCACTCGCTGGCAACACTGCAAATTCAAATCGTAGCTGGTCCATTTTATAATTCATTTAGGTCTCTCAATAAACGGAAATGTCGTTTTATAAGAGTTTCGATTATAATTTATGATTCAA